AAATGTCTAAAATATTGGCTAGGTTTTATCATTGATATAATATGATTGCACATGAATTTTGTTGTTTTTAAAACGTTAGTAAATCTTTACGAGACCTATAATATTAGTCTTTTTTTTTTTTTTTTTTACAATCGAGAGGATAATTTCCCAGGACATATCTGAAAGGATAATAACCGATGAACGCGTACGATTGCGTTCGGCGATGTCAGCGTGCGAGAAGAGTAGGTTCATCGCGATGATCGTCAAAACGTGAGACGGACTCTTTCTTTCAAGGCCAGTTACTTGGAGACCGTATTAGGAAACTTGCGATCGTTCTGCAAAATCAGATGAAGGGAAGATTTTTTTTTCAACTTCACGCCGGCCATTACCATACCAAGAGTGGATTATTTTATACACACACACATATATATATATATGTGTTCACCACGTACGGTGTGGTGAACACCCCGAGGTATAAAATTGCATCGTCAGTTTGCATATATGAAACTTAAAGAAAGATAAGATAAAATAATTGCAGTTGTGTTTGTTTATTTGTTTGTTTGTTTTGCTTTTCTTTTTTTTTTTATTTCTTTAACGATGCAATGAAAAGTATCAATGATTATTACAAAATGTTTGCACGTATGGGTGTCCTAAGACGCGTTCCGCGTCTCCTTCCCACAAGCGTTCGTGTTCGTGGTCGCCAAAATTCTTCTTTTTTTCATTCGAGCTCTGCTGCGAAGCCGTATTAGGAAACCTGCAGTCATTGTGCTTGCCTCGTTTGAACGAAGACGAAGACGAAGACGATGAAGACGATGAAGAAGAAGACCAACAACAGCAGTGAAGAAGAAAGACTATCCTTTTCTCTTTCTCTCTCTCTCTCTCTCTCTCTCTCTCGTTTGCAAAAAGTTCTTCAATACTATAAGGACAATAAGAGAAAACGTGTTACGCGCAGGACCCCTTGCTACTTTCTATAATTACTACACGGTCTCTCTAATTTCTCATGCGAATGTCCTTTCTTCATTCCACGTCCTATCCGAAAAAAAAAACACTTTGATTCGATTACTTTTCTATTTTTTTTTTTTTTTTTATTTCATTTTAAGATCATCACTAATCTTATTGATAATTGTTTGTGTATCTCTAATTGTAAGTAAATGAATTTAATTTATTCTATATTCATTTTCCAATAGTTATGTGTGAATATTTTGTTCAAGAATTTATAGTAATCAAGTTGTTGTGTTCGATTAAAATTTTTAAATTAATATATTAAGTGTTCGCAGTATACGCGTAGGTGTGAGGATGGTTTATGTACATACGTAGGTGATTGGATTTGTATCATTAATAAAACGTTCCAGTATACTGTTTCTTTTTCTTTTTTTGTTTTTTTTTCTGAGAGAGAGAGAGAGAGAGAAAATAGAAAAAGACTAAGGTTGATTGATAGAAGAAAAATAGGAAGCAAGGTTTTCTCGTTATGAATGTTACGGTGATCTTTTTTTGTGATTAAATTTGATCAATTAACAAGTTTTTAATTGATAATAAGAAAAACATTATTGAGTAGTGTATAGATTTGAGATAGGTTTATATATGTATAGGTGATAGGGTTTCTCTCATTTAAAAAAAAAACAAATAATAGAAAATAATAAACGTATGTGTTTAGGATGATAAGAAATGATTTTCTATGAACAATTTTTCCAATTTTTTGTCGTTAATATCCCCCCTTTATTGAATTCACTTTTCCTATTACTAAAAACTTGTGTCTATCAAAGAGTAAAATATTAAATGCATTCTCTATAGAGAGACTAATGATAACTATACACCAACGTAATTATCTATCGAGTTATTTAGTAATTTCAAGTAAATAGGATCAAAAGAATTTCAAACTTTTCCGTAAGTTGTTCTTTTAAAAGAAAGTTAACTATGTAATAACTTTATCTTTCAGTGCACTTGTATCGATCTTTCTACCGGAAAGACATCTCTCTCTCTCTCTCTCTCTCTCTCTTGTCCTCTCTTTAGATCCCAGCATCGAAAGAGTCACAGGAAATACCACGTCTCTTTCCCGTATCGTTGTGGCCGACGTTTTCTGCGAAAACATCTGAGAATTACGTCGGATCCTTCCACCATGAGTTCGCTGATCGCTCGGTGGACGGCGGGGACCTTCTTTACTTTTTCGATATATCGAAGTAAGAGAATAAAAAGAGGAAGGGGTGGAGAGAGGTAAAGGAGAAGAAGTACACGAACATTTACACATAAAATGTATACCTGTAAATACGCTCAAACGCGCGTGTACATTTACATCTACATATAAACACACATAAACGTGTATATACATATACACACACATACACTGTATTCGAAAAGTGGTCGGTTGGTATGTGCTCGCGTGCTCGCATACCTGAGGTGAATGCGTGTATGCACTCAAAGAAAAAGAGAGAGAGAGAGAGAGAGAGAGAGAGACTGGACGTCTGTATATATTAGAGAGAGAACGAGAGAGAATGAGAGAGATGGTAAAGCTTCAAGGTTAGCCAGAGAGACGTATGAATGGACGTATGCATGAATGGGTTGCTATACGCACTCGAGAGAGGCCAACTGGTATTGGACGCCAGTCTTCGATACGCACCTTGCTTTCTCTCTTTCTATCTTTCATTCTTTCTTTCTTTTGTATTTTATCTTTCAATACGCGTAAGAGTAGATATTTTTTATATATCAGTGTACGTGTATTGGTTTATCTTTCTAGGATATGGATAGAAACGTTTGTGTGTATGTATGTATGTGTGTGTGTGTGTGTGTATAGTATCCCCTTATTCATATGATTTTATCTTTTGAGATAAACTATTGTGGTGCAGTTATCTTTTTTAATTTTCTATTCAAGATTAATTGGGTAGTGTAATTTTTTGAGATTTGATATCTCGTTTAATTATGTATATAATAAGAAGATATTCTTTTAATTAATTATTTTAATATGTGTTTTTTTTCTTTTTTTTTTTTTTATTAAGAAATATAATAATAGGTGAAATCTCGAAAGAGAGATATGATGATGGTCATTAGAAAATTGTGAAATATTTCTAGATATGTAGATATCAATTATTTATTTCTCTAGATATTTTTTTTTCAATATTTACTTTAACGTGTAGTAATATTTTGTTTAGCTAGAACATATGAAATCAAAGGTAGGATAAACATTTTTAAATTGTCATAACTCTTTTCAAGTAATAATTCAATATATTTATATTATGGGAATTTTTTGTTTATTTGTTTTTTTTTTTTTAAAGCAAGAAAGTATGAAATGAAAAAGAAAATAACGATGATAACAATTTAAAAATCATTTATTGTCAGCTTGCTATCGTAACCTAGAAAAACCATTGAACTTTTTCTCTTTTTTTTTTTTTTTTTTTGTTGAAAAAAGAGAGGGTAAGGAAATTAAAAAAAAATAAAAATAACGAAGAGAATAGAAGGAAGAAAAGATAAACATCGGTATTGTTTTCTTTTGTCAAAGATGCGTTTTTAATACCTGCGAAGGACGGTTTTCCTGATGCATTTTAAGTAAAAAAAATTGTATTCGATCAAAATTTTTTGTTTTGTTTTCTCTTTCTTCTTTTCTTTTATAAACAATATCGGATATAACGATATATACAAGTGTTACGATTCATTAGAAACGATTTAAATGTGGATTTCTTTGTTCGTAAAAAAAAAAACAGTTGTTTTTGTTTTGTCGCGTTGTGCAACATCTGTTCAAACACACAATTTCGCAAATAAAAAATATTCCTTTCCTATCATTTATTTTCTTTTTCTTTTCGCAGATAATCAGGCACGCGTGATATTTTTTCGCACATTTGTTACACCGTGCGACACAAAATTATGCGTTTTATTTAAAACACGGTTTTTATACGCGCATGTTTACGTACACGTATATAAGTCGTACAAATATATTCGTTTAAATGATACCATATATAATAATCATATTAATTATAATAATATTTAATTAATAATAATTATAATCATAATAATAATAATAATAATAATAATAAAAAAAACGATACGTTTTTTTTGATTTAACAAGAGTATAAATAGGACTAGATTTCGTTAGACTGCGTTTCTATCGATTAACACGATATTTAAATGATATAGTCTTTAAAAAAGAAAATAACATAAGTATATTCGATAAACAAAAAAAAAAAAAAATAAGAACGTCGCGTTTTTTTTATTCAAAAGTCTCACTCTTGGTTGCACTCAATAGAATAAAAACAAAAACAAGAAGAACAACAACAACAACAACGACAAATGCACTTTCCCGTTTGTTTTTTTTCTTTTTTTTTTCTTTTTTTTTCGTTTTCTAATCGATATATATATTATATTAATTATTAATAAATTATAACGTTGTGGAAATAACTAGAGGGAAGACTTTCATCAACACATTTTTCTTTTTATTTCATTTATATTTCTATAATTTCTTTTTTTTTTTTGTTCCTATATCCTTTTCTTTTTCTTTACAATAATTTAGATTAAAAAAATAAATCGGAAAAAGTTAAAATTCTTTCGGACTTTCACTTTTCTCTGTCACGAAGTTGTCGAGCCTCGAGAAACACTGTTCTTTGGTTAACACGTTCTTCTTCTTTAACTTCTTTTTTATTTATTTATCTGTCTATCTCTGTGTGTGTGTGTTTATGTGTATGTGTATGTATTAACACACGTACATTCCAGTCTCCCATCTTTGGCACAAAAGCTGTGATCGATTTTACATCGGAGTTTCTCGATAGAAGGAAAGACGAAGGAAAATAATCGTAAAGAAAATAGAAAACTCGTATGTACAAATAGTTCACATCAATGTACATAATTAATAAATTTGTGTGTTCACTTCGTACGAAAGCTCGCGTATACATAGAACAAATGAATTAAACATCTTACATAATATTACAAAAATAGTTAACATTTTGTCCCCATCGAAAATTATATCATAACGCGAATAATTCAATATTATTTACACACAATACGCACAAAGAACATTTTTTAAATTTATATTTCTTTTCTTTTTTTTTTTTTTTTTAATTACGCATCACAGATCATAAAAGGGGCGTTTATCTAATTTGTAAAATCACCCTTTCATTTTTCTCACCCACCCACCCACTCGTCAACCCTGTCGACCAATTAATTATCCTACGCGTTAACGAATAAAAATTCTCACGTTAATAACGAGCGTTAGATGGATGGGTTCGTAAAATTATTTTTATCCAAAATTTGTCTCTAAGTGCGCGACATTAGCAAATGCAACGCGCGCGCGCGCGTAAATGGAAAAGTAATGAAGAAAAAGAAAAAGATAATAGATAGAAAGAGTGACAGATAAACAGATTATAAGGTAGAAAGAAATAGAAAGTGATAGAACGTTTTTATGACTTATCGGTATTATATAATTTCACTGGTGCATATTTTCATAGCCCCGAGTATACACACTCCCACATAATTTCGTTTAAAAGAAAATAAACTTGATCATTTCGTGGCCGAGAAAATTCGAAGGACAACACACACACACACATACGTACACGTACACGTACACGCACAAGCACACTTTGGATGTTCATAGTGTTCACGTGAGAGGAAGAGTTCGATGATCTTCGACGAATGTAGGTGACCCATCGAGATTTTGATGAGAAATGGGTGATGGTACGATCCCAGTTGCATCACTTTCCACGTCACCCTCAACTATTTCACCCTCCCCGTTATTGGATAACTCGCGCACATTACCCGGTAGATAATCCTTCCAACTTCGGAACAAATATCTCGTGAATTTTCTCAATTGACGAAATTTACAATACGTAGCACCCTCCGCGGATTCCAATTGTTGGGTTTGAATGAGGAAACCTTTTTCTTTAAAGGTCTGTTCGAGTTTTTCCCTTTGAAGTGATTTCCTAGTTTTTCGTTTACGCCGACCATCTTCTTGGCTGTTTGAACGTTGACAAACTACCGGTGGTTGGACTCTCTCGCCAGATGCATTTAAAAATGCACCCGCGGATGATCCTGATTGGCCGGCTTGTTGTTGAAGGGCTTCCCTTGGAAAAAACTCGTAACCTCGCATACTTTTGTCACCTGTTCCACTGTAATATCTGAAGTTACCACCGGAATCCACTGAGAGACTTTTCTTCTCTTGCAAACTCGGTTTGGCACCACCGGTGAATTTGAACTTGCATATGCTCACCTCGGTAGCAGGATTGTTATTATTCTCCGAAGGCATCGGTGGAATGAAAATAGCCGAACGTTTTCGTTTAGTTGGTTGGCCTTGGTGTTGAGCAACTGGTGCATTTCTCTTAGGTCTGGGTGATAACGGTGCTGGAACTGGAACTGTTGAGGGTTGTGGTGTTGTCGGTGTTGTCGGTGACACTGAACTCGAACTTTTTGTGTCCATCATCGAATAGATAGATTTGGGTACTATTTTCTGTTCTTTTTGAGAATATTCCGTGCCACGTGGGAAACACTTGTCATTCTGTGCCATTTTTTGATAATACAGTAACTGTGATTGTAATGCCATAGGATGAATGAAGACACCAGCGTTCGGGAAATACACGAATCCTGGATTTGGTGTAACCATTGGATCCGTAGATCCATCCGATCCATGATTCACGTTGTTGTTATTATTATTGTTAACGTGATTCGTTGAATCTGTTAATCGATTAGCAGAATTTGGAAACGTCGTGCCCAAACACTCGATGTCTTCTCCATCGCTCGAGGCCTCGCTTTTAACTTGTCCAGACTCATAAACGTTTCCATGTTTCCGAAGCAGTCTGATCTTCAATTGATTGAGATCTCTGATGCAGAGATTCAATGGTTCGTCTTGTTCGTTGGTAGTATCTGTCAAGACGAAATTCCGCCTAGTCTCTTGGGTAAGACGTTTTTCTAAAAGACTACTAATCCTATTCTGAACGTCAGTACGTTGGAAGGGTATCTGAGGTGGTAACTGATCCCGACAATCAGGTTTCTCTTGAGGAGATAATCTTTTTTCTTCGTGACCAGGTGTTCCAGGTAATATGGTCCCATAATTCTTGTAAATCAAATGACAAATGTCTGCCTTTTTGGGTTTACGTCCTCTCCGAGGTTTACTATTGTCCAACGTTATTTCACCCATATAGGGTAGATCGGAATATTTCATAGGTGGTCTCGTGGTAGATGTTTGCTGAGAGGATTGTTGAACATGTCCGTGATTATGATTATGATTATGATGATGGTGATGATGATGAGGAGGCACAGTGTAGGCGTGAGACGAAGTGGATGTTATCACCGATCGTCTGGATGCCGATGCTTGACCGGAATTAAAGTTCGTACATTGTTGGGGCATCGTTTGGGGACATAGTTCTTGTTGCATTGCAGCAATGCGTTGCAACCAACCCTGAACATCGGCAATTGGACTAGGCGTTGAAGTAGCACTGGTAGGTGCTGGACTCGGTGCTGTTTGTTCGCTGGTATGAGTAGGTGAGGATGAATTTAAGGCCTCTTGTGCGAGTGACGCCTCGTAATGGTCCAAATATTCTGGTGGTAATGCTTGATGATGAAACTTTAATTTCCATCGCGATTTCCTTCTGCCACGACTGCAACAAAAAAAGAAAAAAAAAAAAAAAAACAAAAAAAAAAGAAATAAGTAATACCAAATATTTCGTTCGACTTTTCTAATTGAAACATTTATTCTTATCTGCGTTTGTCTTTGTCGCAAAGTGAAAAAAAAAACAAATGGGGGGAAAGGGAAAATAGAAAAAAAAAGTATGCGTATTATTCGATAATTGAGTAGAGTCATAAGAAAAGTAAAATATAGGCTCGCTTGAATAACTACAAAGGCAACATCGTTCCTTCATTAACCTCGTCCGTTGTCGATAACTGCATTCCGAACCACACCTCTCTACGGCAATCTAATACACCGCAGTGTAAGACACCTTCGATCGTATGCAGAGGGCATATCTTGACATTTTTACCTTCCTAGAGTTGTTCCATGGCTTACGATCGTTTATATATCGTCGTTTTACTCGGTATACATGTATATGTGAACGTATCTCTATATAATGAAATTCAGTAACGGTAATCGACTGGTGGTATTTCAGCGACGCAGAGGAACTTCTTTTTTCCATCGAACAGTCTCGGCTCCATCTACTGCTCTCGTCGTACGATGTACTTCGACCAGAGAACGAACCAGTTTACCCGGCGCTTATCCTTCTTACTAGCTATCTTAAGTACCTGCTCTCTGCAAGTGGCGCAAGCTTTATGTCGTGGACATCGTTAGCAACGTGATACTGCGTACGCGAGTTCCCTTTAAGATTATTTCGATAGAAACAAGCTACGAGAGAAGTTAGAAATATATTTAAACAATAATCAAGCTACCTAGTCACGATGAATATCACTATTGATTATTCCTAACTGAAAATTCACAAGCACATCTAATTACCTGCTCCTACTCCTATTACTCTGATCGGAGGCACAAGTTTGACCAGGGGTTTCTTCTAACGTTTGAAGTTGACGATGGTGAACAGATTGTTGATCGTTTCCATGTTTACCATCCAACGACACTTGCACCGAACTCGTGTCCGTTTGAGGACTGGAAAAAATCATTCGTATATAACGTTTTGATGATCATGATGATCGATAGCAAAGATTCATTTCAATGATTAAACTTCATTTATATATATTGAACTCACCTAAGTGTACTGGTGTCACGACTACGTTCCTCCTCCTCCTGGGGTTCTTGCTTTACCGCCATTTGTGCCAAAGGCGCCAATGGGCACTTGATTTGCGTTGAGTGATGATGATGATGATGCAGATGCAGATGATTCTGCAAACTGTTATCCGTTAAATCCAAGTCTATGCCAGTTGATTGTGCACGTGGCACGACTTCCTCGGTTTGCATAGTGCCCCCTATGTCAAACAGAAGGGAAAAAAAGCAAAATGCTTGGTCAGACAGAACAACTTTTCCATTATTTATTAATAAAAATGAATAAATAAATAATCATGTTTTCATTGGTTCCCATCTGATCATCATATTTAAATTCATAATGCTAAAAGGTCAGACGTGGGATTTTACAATCGGTTAATAACTATTATTACCACTTTGTCTGAAATAGGTATCGAGTAATATTCATAAAAGAAAAAGTTTTATTAATGAACACGCACTTATTCGCACATATCCACACATATATTCATACAAACATCCGTATACATATTTAACGATTTATATACGTGACGATAAGAGTCGGCGCTTGGTGTAAACCGCGACGGGCGTGAGAAATGGAATAAAACCGAACAAATGCCCACATGCAGATCCTGATTCTGATTTATAAATGCGTTTATGTAGGTTTATCTACTGCGTTTACACGTTTCTATCTGTGTGTATAGGTTTTGTGTGTATATATGTAAGTGTTACACCATTGATGCCACACGTGTGGGTTTTGCGGACGCGTCCAAGGTTTCGGAATCATATAATAAGGAAACGAAGTCATCGTTTATGATCCATGACTTGCTTGTGGCTAGTTTATCGAAGTCTTTATTGTGTGTGTGTGTGTGTGTGTTGTTACCCCATTTTTAGATAATACAGGCTAATTATTTAGGATTTTTGTAGAAATTTATTTATATGTAAGAGGATTAATTGAAATGTTTTGAGCTTAAACCAAAAATATCTTTCAAAATTTGCTAAATGATTTAGATAAATTTAAGGAATTTTTATGCACTTTTTTTTTTACAAAAATTACATTGAAATACACTGCTGAACAATTTTATTGTAAATTATTTTATTACTATTGTAAATTCATATTACTTAACGATATATTTTAAACGAACGTTAACACACAGAGTTTCGTGTCGGAAATATTTAACGAATAATATTGTCGAATAAAAATATAAATCTTATCTTTGTTTTATAATATGTTTTAAACATAAAACAGATATACGCGAAGATTAACTTGGAATATATTGTATTTTAATTCGTTATCAGAGACATTTATTCTCGCGAAAATCTTGTTTCTAGTAAAATCCTTGGAACGATAAAGGATAACATTGATCGTGGTTTGAAAACGATTGGGACGTTGTATTCTTATCGTTTATCTCCTTACAATACACCGCAGCAAATATTTCGCGATGTACTTTTAAACCGAAAAGGTTTGCAAGAGTTTTCTCATAAGATAGAGAATGGTGGTGGTGCTGTAGGGAATATTTTCAAGATTCTTTCGAAAAAAAGAAACCCGACTCGCGAATGAGAGGTTTGCAAAGGCACAGAGAAAGATAACAAAAAAGAAAAAAAAATATGTAAAAGAAAATATAAGAAGAAGAAAAAATGTAGAAACGAGAAGGAGGGAAAGTGGTGGAGGTGGGGGGAGTGGGGGAGGAGATGAAGGAGGTGGTAAAAGAAGAAGAAGAAGAAGAAGCAGCAGCAGTATGTATATAATACTAACTTTACAGCACCGCACCGGATAAAAATATTCAGATACGGAAATAGAACTGGACACACGTACAGCCCACCCAACACCCGCAATTCTTCGACCGTACTTGGCTTTACTCGATCGGGTTTCATTTCTTACAGCCAACCAGCACCTTACTTGCTCCTGTTCTTACTGTTATTGCTACCAAACACCATTTACTGAAGTACTTTCCTTGCACATTCTCAAATATCTGGGATGCTTCAAATGCAACTGTATTTGTTAGAAATGATTTTCTTTCTTTTTTCTTTTATTCTCTCTTTCTCTCTCTCTATATATATTTTCAAGACCAATACCTTTGTTAGAAAGAGAGAAGAGGATATAATTTTTGTTCAATTGAATCCAATAGTTTGTTGGCTAAATTTGTATCGTATTTGCATTAATGCGATTACAAAATTAAAATATACAGAAGTATCTTTTTGTGAATCGTAAATCATCTTTTTCCTTCTCGAAAATCAGGTAAGATGGGGAGAGTAAGGGGTTGGTTGGTTGATTTGAGAATTTGGAAATAAAAAGAAAGATGGTCAGGTTTAACACGCACGGTTGCATGTAAATCGAAGAATGAGAGCACGAATGGGATGTTAAAGGATGTTCAGAGCCAATTTCGATATTTTCTTATGGTGAGTTATAAGATGAAGAAAGAGAGAGAAAGAGAGAGAGAGAGAGTATTAAAGAGAGAAACTATGTTGCGGTTGAGAATGTGTAGAGTCGTTATGCATATGATCAAAACGCGTTCGTATACGCATGGTTGCACGCGAGATATACTTGTAAATCGATATTTCGTTTTTAATCGAGAAAAAACACTACCCGTTGATGTTTCTCCAGTGAAAGGTTTAACAACAACAACAACAAAAAAGAAAGAAAGGAAAATATATAAAATTAAATTAAGATAATAAAATGATGCTGATATATCATAAATTGGATTTTCTCTCTCAAAATTCGTACTCTCTTTCTCTATTATTAATAATATTTAATTTTTACATTTATTTATATTAAATTACACATATATAATTATTAAAAATAGTATATTTAAAAATACATTAGCATAGAGTTAGTCTAATTAATGAATTATTCAAATTAATCATTATATATTTGAATGATAAATTACATATAAAGTATATAATTAATAATAGAATGAAATTTTCTTTTTAAATAATAATGATAAACTTGTTAAATCATACTTGTTTGAATCATTAACGTTTTCCTTATCATAGTGGTGTACCCTTTTTTAATTTATAATTAATTATAACCCGTTAGAAGATAGAGAAAGTATAGTTAAATGTTAAAATACATAACGAATGTAGTACGATAAAGAAAGACAGATAGAAAGAGTGTGAGTAAGAAAGAGAGAAAGAGAGAGAGAGAGAGAGAGAAACGGACACATATGCACATGCACATATACACACATGAAAAGGCAAAAGGCACACCCGATTCATTGAAGCTCGCTTATAGAATGATGCAGGCGGGCGCGTAACTACAATTTATTTTTTGGCTATTTTTAGAGGGCGGCTGGCGTAGCGCCACTATTTTCGGTTCTCTCTCAAATTTCTCACTCCATATTTGGGATTATGTATGACGGGACGGGACTTGCTTGCTTGCTCTCTACACAATTCTCTTGGTGTATCTTTACGAGAGTTACCTACGTCAAATAATACTTTTCTCATCTCTTTCTTTCTTTCTTTTAAAGAAAAGGGAACGTAATAATTTACGACTGAGAGTAAGCTTTTAAAATAATGACATAAAAGATTCGTAAATCATATATATATATGAGAATGAAATGATAAAGTAAAGAAAGATAGAAAAAGGAAGACAGGTATAATTATATTTTCAATTATTTTCTTTTTTGGTTAAATTATTTCCAGTGTTGCGATAATTTAACTAAATTATTTCTCATATTTTTTTTTTTTTTATTCGAATGGAAAGTGAAAGACGACGACGACGCGAATTATCGAAATCGTGAAATCGATACTCCAGAAACGTATAAGCTCGTTGATAGATATTTACGGACAACAAGTGGAAGATACTTAAACGTTTCGTTAAAGTATACGAACCGTGCAATGTGCGTGTGTTCCTATCTTTCTTTCTCTCTCTTTCTATCT